ATTCAGCTAATTAATACGTTTACAAACAGAAAATGAACTGGCGGCAAGTGGAGTTTAGTTCGGCTCTTAGACTTCTGGACCTTTTTTTTGTAAAAGTGTATCTGTTTTCGATCCTTGCACTCCGAGAAGGGAAGTAAGTAGTAAACTTTAAATTCCGACCATAAAAGGGCCCAGAACGCGCTAGACGGGCAGTTCAGTAGAGAAACTTGACGAAGAAAGAAGAGGAAGAGGAAACGTTAGGTGACCAGAGAGTTTTTGGAAGAAATAAAGTGAATATAAAACGACTGGCGTTTCACTTCAACCCCGAACCCCTATTTCGATTTAAGATGTTGAAGCATCGAGTCAAACGACAATATATGGCGAATAATGTATGCCGAGTTTCGATGCGCTCGTGTGTCGCTCAGCACTGTTACTTCTGCAGGTCGACCAAGAACAGCGGTCACGCTTGAAAACATCGCAGCTATGCGAACTATTCTATTAGCTGAAGTCAAATGCCGTTTATAATATCGTCTCGGGTGACGAATCATCACAGGACGGTTACCGCTGAGTGGAATTACTGTTTTAATGATTTGTTTGCACGGATGGAAAAGTGCATTAAGTTGAACGGAGAATACTTCAAAAAACAATCTTGTATGTTGTATTAACTGATGTTTTTGCTTTCAGTCCCGAGACTATTAAAGCTTCATCGGACGCAGAACCGGTGGGCTAGCCAGAACCCACGGGTTTGGACCCTACGCTATGGGTAGGGTCGCGCATGTGCTCATGCGTGCGTTTAACTATGGTGTGTCATCTAAGGGCCGTCGCGGTCGCGGTTCGGACCGAGACCCCGACGACCGTCGACTGTGCATTTAGCTAATCGGTGGCTGGGAGCGGTGAGAACCGCCCCGGAACGCGGGTGTACCTTGTGTACGCGTTGTGTGGGTCTCGCCGTGCTCGGAGGCGAGGGCGAACTGGTGTGATTGTTGTCACACTAACTGTGGGTGTAGTGTTATCCGGCGGGACCCCCAGCGGTGGGTCCATCGTTTCTAAGACCTCTTCGTCGACCGGGTCGATGAGGACGTTTCGCGGGCGACGTTTATTGACGTTCGCGTCAGTGTCGGGTTGGTAATTTGCTGCGCTTACCACCAGAGGGTTGGGATGATGCTGGGCTCTATCGAAAAACCGTTTGGTCAATTCTTTAAAATGTGCGCGAATCGTCGGGAGTCTGCAATCGCTGTGCAGGTCGACGTTGCGCTGATACCATTGCGCACCGGTTGCGCGGCGGATAAACTTATTTCGAAAAACAATAAAACACAATTTAGCTATACTGTGCATGTGGTTTTTCTTATTCCCGATCATTTCAGAGTGCCCCTCCGTATTAAAGCAAATGTAAACACTGTATTTTCACGTTAGGAGCGTATAAAAATAATTTATCAACTTAATATTTCTTGGATAAGGTGACTGACTCTTTTAGTATAAGTGGGCTACTAACTTAGTTTCGCTAACTCTATTCATAGATCCAGGGGCGTTTCTGGCTTTGACTTTGATTGAACAAAGTTAATCGTGTGTAACATTGTTTGGCAACTTCTTACCCGACTTTTTTATCGCTTATATAGTTTGCGTTTCCATGACTACGGCAAGGGGACATGGAGAGATGTAGAGAGTTGCAACCAACACCCTAACCTTTTGACCCATTAAATGTTGCCGATATAGACTAAGACAGCGATGTTCACTTACATTAACGTGAACAGATTTGTTTTATATCATCATTTAGTGATTACGTGAAACGTATTGATTGTGAAAAGGCTTCTCAAGGCACAGGGACTCAGACTAAAATTCTTATTATCAGGTGGAAGTTATGATCTGACATGTGTTGTATATCTGAAGATATAGTAAAAAAATAATGAGCTTATTTTTACATACTTAATGTAGGCTTAGAGGCAAAAATCGTTATTTCTGATCCAACCTTTTGCAAGTTAAATTTCTTATACTCTTTTAACAGTTACCCCACGTAAGCAATTAGCGTTAAGAACTTGAATAGCTTGATCACATTGGGCGGAGAAAGGTGAGCTTCATTCGATGGGTATCCGGGCTCTAAAATTTCCATTTGGCTACGGACGTTAAAGACCGGCGAATGGGGCCCATTGTGCCTCGCCCATTGTGTTTTTCTATTGCCCGGCGCGGCTCATACGAGCAATTTCAGAGCACTTCGTGTATTTCAATTAACGCACTGACATTGTGCGAGTAACTGAAATTGCTAATGGGGGTCGGTATCGATAAAGGTTTTTACAATGTTCTTTCCTCTATCCGTGTACCTTTTTCGCTGGAGTGTACGCTGCAGTCGCGAGCCCGGGGCAATCGGACGAAAATTGTTTTGCATTGTTTCGAATGCAGATTTTTTGACGTGATTTTTTGTGATTCGGAAACAGAAAAATTGAAAATTAGCGACTGTCCCGTATTTCGTTTTTTGAATTTAATAACGTTTTCACTATAATCGAAGATATATGTTTAGGTTTTACGACAAGTCTTTATCAAATTTCCATACATTAAATTAGTTTCAATTTATTAATCTCTCATTTGAGTGAATTGCATCTAACCTCAATAACGTAAAACATACAATGTCGTCCATCAAAGTTAGTGCCTGTTTAAAATCATATACTCGAACATTGGCCCGGTCATAACATGCGCAATATGAGGCCAATAAATCTCGAGTCCTGGAAAAACTCGTTGAGGCTAAGGGACCGTTACGCCACGAATATGTCTTATTGCGTATTGTTCTTAACTTAGTTATACTGAAAACATCTTTTACCACCATAATACATTTGGCATCTTTACTTTTACTCACTTTAATTGAAAGTATACTGTGTAATATTTTACGTAATATCCTATATATGAAAGAAGAAAGAAATATTTATTTGATACATAACAAACAAAACATAAAATAAAAACAAAATAAAAATAACAATTAAAATCTAGAAATCAATATACCAAAAAGGTCACCAAAATTGGCGATTGCTGATTTTCAGTGGAACTTGGAGAGATTGATAGATGACGACTTTAACAACAATAATACCATATATTATAATCTAACAAAAAACAGATTATTAATAAACATAACAACAATTGTATTTAGCGCCTGTTTGTATGTGTATGTGTGGTAATTTTTTTAAATGATTTGTAGGTGGTAATGTTTTCGCAATTGTATTGTTATTTGGAAATAAACTTTAGGGTTTCAAGTGCCTGATTTTTGCGTTGATATCAGAAAGGCTTTTATGATGTAATATCATGTGAAAGAGTAATGAAATGTAATTACAATAACGCTATTTCAAATTCTTAATTAAACGTGCAAATGTTGCTATGAATATTAATTTTAAAGTCGGTTAGTCGCTAAAAATTATGCCTAAAAAGTTATGGTCCATCAAATTGGAAAAATGGAAACTAAGCAAAAGTACATGAAAAAAACGTTTTCAAGTCAAAGAATCTGACTTTTTTGCGGCGTTAATAAAGGCTCTTCTTTATTACCTGCTGAAATCTCCCGATTCTGCTGACCGACGCAACTGGCCTAATGGGTTACTGACCCTGCCTCTTGCGCCAGAGGGCGTGGGGTCGACCCCCACTATTGAAAAGATATTGTGTGATGAACGTAGTGTTTTCCTAGGGTCTGAAAGTTTATATATTTATAATATGTATTTATATACAAAAGAAAAGCATGTTTAAGTATGTTTATCATTGACAGTAAACATTATATAGTAAACATAATATTCTTTACGGTGGTATGGCCACGCAGCAGCCTCGGCTGTTGCGCTAATGGGCACGCCCGTCCGGGTAAGTACCACGACCTCAAAGAAGACCAGCGTAAAGTGGAAGTATGACAAATACTTTCTCGTTAAGTCTGGTGAGTGAGGTAGCCGGAGCCCAATTTTCAAAAAGGTTGTCAATGCATCTGTAAGGTGTGGCAGATGTCCATGGGCGGCGGTATTCACTTAACATCAGGTGAACCGTCTTCCCGTTTGACAACATTTCGCATAAAAAAAATTAAAAATGTATAGTTCACTTTTTGCGATAATGCCTTTTTTATAATTATACATAATTGTCTTCGTTAGTGATTAACTTATGTATGGCTCATTTTATTTAAATTTCGGTCTTTATCACTAATGTCACAGATTAAAACAAAACAAGAAATTTATGACACAATTTTAACTTTACCTGCATTTCTATGTGTCCCTACGGATGGGTGTATTCGGATGGTATCAACAATAAATAAAATTTCGCAAGTTCATTTCAAACGTATGTAGGTGTACAATTTGACGAAACAGTTGGGGAGGAGAGCAAAGAATTCTCTCGAGGCGCGTCCTCAGCACGGTATGCGCTGTCACCTAGCTCCGTATTAACATTTGAATTCCGAACAATTTGACGGGGCCGCATTCGCAATATGGCTCTAATGGCCGAATTCAGAAATGAATACACCTGAGCCGGACGGCGATCGAAATTAGATGGAAATGACGCGACCTGTCGTTTATGGCGGATTTTGTTGAAATTATAATGTATCGGCAGTGTAAATGTGGAGATTTGTTTGAACGCTCATAAGTGACGTTAAATTGAAACGAGGCTAATTTGGAAGCGTAGCGTATTACGATTATTTGAAAAATTATATTTTGAAAACCGAATGCAATTGATTTATTAACTGTTATCTGCAGCTGCTACTTGTTCACTAGTTAGATAATTTGTTTTTACTTTACTTTAGTATATACATATATATATATTTTTTTCAAAGTATTCTAAAATCATTATTATTATTTCGAAAATATACATGCTTGGTACAATGGTTTTCTCACGATGTTCTTATTCACCGAGAAGTATATGATAAAGCAGCACCTAAAATTGCAATTAAAATTTTATTGCTGCTGGATTTGACTTCAGGTTGCTCGAAGTGAGTACTCTTATACTGATATGTAACAACTTACTGAGCTATCTCTGTAAAGTAAAATTAAATTGTGACCGTTTTAAAGGCTAGAGTGAATATGCTATTAACCGTCTCCGTTTACCGCCAAAAATTCATCGCTACTTACAAAAGAAGTGTTGCAAAGCAGGAGTCAATCCGCGATAAAAAGTACAAGTACAAAGCGCTACATCCGACGAAGGATGACAAAACCTCCCCGCTCGTTACTATTCCGAACGTAGAAGCGCCGCTAAAAGTGGGCCCGAGCGTCGCCGTCGATCACGCGGCGACCGACGTCGGACGTGCAACCGTGAAATCATTAATTCCGCATCCCGTAATAACCGGCACACATCGGCGCACATCGGCACACATCGGCACACATCGGCACACAACGTTCGCCGCGACAATTGAATGAGCGCCCGTAGGACGCGTTCGGCCGAGCAATCCATTATGCAGATTGCTGGTCGGATTGCGGCATTGTCGTGAGCCCGCTCCGCCTGTTACGCGGCCCGAGATCGTCTGAACCGCGATTCATTTTATGGATATTGCATAGCTTCAATGGTTGATTGATGACGGCGACCGGCTGACCGGCCGCGGCTGTTTTGTCCGAGCCCGCCGTTGCGTTCAGTTTTTAGGATTTCCAGTTGCCTTTAATACACTGCGATACGATACATCGGAAATAGCACCATTTAGGGATACTACCCCATCTATAAAACGGGCAAACTGATAAAATTTGAACTCTAAAAAAGTGGTCCAAATTGGTCCACTTTGATGCAATGCAAAAAGTTCAAAATTCTAAGGTCACCGGAAAAATTTCAGCGGCTTAAACTAATCTAAGAGATCTAATCTAAAATGTATAACTGGTACGAAATTTCAATCGGTTACATAATAGTTCATTCATTTTGATAATTTGTCAATGTTACTTGGGTGTTAATAGAAAAATTAAAAAAGATCTAAGTTAACTTTTTCTGTCTATCTCCTAAAAATTGTAATAATGCCATATCAAGAAAACTAAAATTGGTGAGAAGCTTAGAATAATTGGTCAAAAGAATTAAAATAATCACAAGGAGTTAAAAATTTCAAGGACTATTATCATAGCACCTCAATTTGATCGGATGAACTGTTTTCAAACAAAACAAGCAACGACTATGCAAACGGTCAGAGTATTCTGTCAATAGGGCAGCATTTAGTGGTTATCAAATTTGCAGCTTATTGACGTCAACTCAAATCGGTCATCGCCACACTGAATTTTAGTTACTGTCATTGGAGTCTTGAGTGACAGTTCAATTGACGTAAGTCTATAAGTCTATGGTCAATAAGACTATGGTCCTTGGAACGCTTCAAACAATCAAACAAATATTTAAGCTGATAAAAACAAAACCCTTCTTTTGGCATAAGTCAGATACTTATTAAAGCATTGTCATAGTTGCTATATTATTTTAATTACTCATTCAGATAGCCACCTATGAAATACAGTCTACAGTCCAGCGTACCGCTATAGTGTAGTACATTAGAGATCTGATTTATATTGCGTATAGGATAACTACTTCAATTGTATTCATATACGGTTAATTTTTCCTGAATAAATATGTTCAAAGTCGGGAAGCAAACAGACCGTATAGTGATGCGACCGAATTGCAACGAAAAACTACGCGGTCGTACGAGAGTTTTCCACGTCAACAGTAATTAGTTTTGGCGAAAAACGCGCTAAATAAAGCTTGGCGGCCACTTCACCCAATCCAAGGGGATTTAGATTACCCCGTTGCTTTGCCCCGGCGGCCGACCGCAGCCGTGGATCTCATGAATATGTAATCACTTCTCGGCTATTAATATTTTTACTCGCCCCCGTTGCGTTGATTGCCTCTTGAATTTATTATCTAACTCCGCGATAGACCGTTGCCCGTATTTATTTGGACCACCTGCCTGGCCCAGCGACGCAGCGCTCCGGGTGAGTTATGAGCTTCCCGCTACTGTTGATAGAATATTTTATTCCGCTCTCTCTTTGTTTATGGGTTATTAAAATTGTTCCGCAATGGCTTAACGTTAATCAGGAGTGTCCTGATGGAGTTCTGGAAAGTTATAATGAATTCGATTGCCATCCTACCTGCAGATGGTATCTGGGAAGTGATTTATCATTTAATTTTTTGAAATATTATACGTAAACGGAACAGATAATGATTAGCAGTATTTGATAACAAAGTTAATTATTAAATGAATGAAAAACCCGATTATAATACCCCTTTTTTCTGTTTAATGACGGTAAACCGTGCCATAAAATTAAACCTACTACTAACCTAAACTAGTATTATCCGTATGGATGGATACATACTCTTGAAAAACATTATTCCACTTCAGCAGTCGGATAAAAAGCGAATCGATGGCGCTGTCTCAGAGTAAGTTTAAGGACGAGCTAACAAAGATGTCAGTCATTAAAGTGACAATATTCTTTTTATATCAAAAAGTGGCAAACGAGCTGGCGATTCACCTGATGTTAAGTGATAACCGCGCCCACGGACATTTGCAACACCGGTTGCAGATGTGTTGCCACCTTTTAATAAGGTGGGCTCCGGCTCACTCACCAGACGAAACGCAGAAGTGTAACACTTCTACTTTACGCCGGTCTTCTGTGAGGTCGTGGTACTAACCCGGACGGACCTGCCCATTGGTGCAACAGCGAATACTGTTGTGTGGTCCTACCACAGTTAAATTTATTAATATTAACTTATTAAACCACAATTCATTGAAATAATTAGTCCCAATATGGATGAGTGGTTCCCAAACTACACCGTGACACTGGTTAATATTGTTAGCTTAGAATATTTGAATATTAGAGTCTAAACAAAACGCTGACTTTTTGAAGCCAGCGTTTTGACTTTGTGAGTCGCTTTAGACTACAAGTAAAATTAACACTCAAGGAAGCCGAATAAAGTGATTTATAAAAGATCCACGTTATAAATTAACTTATACATAATGTTTTTAGTAAAGCGGCGGTTAATATAAAACGAATCGTTACTGAAAATTTTTCTGCAAAAATTTTTACGCATAGTATTATAGCACAAAACAATCAAATATTAATTTAACAAATGCAGAAGACTAAAATAAACTCATTATCTATACTAGCCATCATCATCTTCCTTCTAGGTGTGGTCGGCACAACATTTGAATTAATGTTTTAATTGGTTTTTTCAAGGTTTTGAACATACAATATCTGAAAAAATAATATGTGGGTCACATAAATACTTTTCCCGTGCGGGAATCGAACCCACGACATGAGCTTGGCAGCTGGGCCACCGGGTCATTTATGTTCTATATATACTCATATACATATTATCTATAGTAGCCAAATGTAAATCTAGGCAAAAAGTGTCTACACTTTTTGCCTAGATTTACATTTGGCTACTAAAATCTTATTTAAAAACAATATAATTATATCATACAATTATCAAATCGAACACTGGATCGATCGACCAATCAAACCAGGCGTTAGTAATAAGCGCACAGATAGACGGACAAAAACATGTTTAATATTTACGGATGAAGGTTAATCACAAAAGAGGTACAGTCATAAGGCAAACGCGTTATCGTCAACGATGTAACTCAATCTGTTGTTGTGCATGATACGGAGCTCACTGTACTACACTCAATCGCATTATTGGCTCTGATTGCAAAATGTTTGCCGTTATTAGATAAATAGAGTGGGTGGAAATGCAAATGTTTGCGCAATGCTCTCATTATTGGAATAGGGGGTCGCTAATATTAATTGCAACGTTGCATTAGAGCCGTTTTAGTGAAATTAACTTGCACGTCTTTGCCAGTGGATAGTAACGTGGTTTGTGTCCCTTCATAACTGAAGGATTTTTAACTCTTAAACGTATAGTTATAACTTAAGGTAACTTCGTCGGAAACTCATAACGAAATTAAAGATGAAGTGTTGAAACTTCCATAACCATATTTTTTTATATAATATTTTTTTTTAATATAATTAACTAATTGTCATAATATTCACTTTGTTTTGAATTGTTATTATCTTTCCCATAACAGACGTTTGAGCTTTCAGTCCATGGATTATATGAAGCTTCATCAGGTACTGAGGTCATGTTTGATAGACCTCAGTACCTGATAGACCCTGCCTAAGCAGAGTTACCCATGTGTACATGCATGCATTAAAAACAGGAGAGGGTTGCCGCCTAGGGGTTCTAGGGCTTGTTATGTATCCAGCGATCGATGGCAGAATTGTGTTGGCGGTATGGTCACCGTGGTTGTAGATGAACTAGAGTTATACTTTAAGGCAACGTGTGTGTTTAGTGTAGTTGTAGGACCCCTTTGGATTATAATTTCGTCGCCTTCCTCGAACGGGTCGATGAGGGGAATTATTATTATGGACAATTGAATACATAACGCTTCCAAGATATTATGATTTTTTTTATATGTCGATCGCTTCAGATATAAAGTATCTTGTAAATGAATGTTTATTTCATTTCAAACGAAAGGTGCTCGTATTTTCACGTGTATTTCACAACGAGGCGGAGAGACGTTCGCTTAGATTAGTTGCCGACATAAACATCGTCTCATAACCCTATCACCAGCAGCCGCTCGTACCTGTTCCCATTGTTTCATGTTTAATTAGGCGCGAACAAATACGTACGGTGAACAAATTGCCTCCGGTGAGATTCCTTTGTCCTTTGTGATGAAATTCGTAACTTTCTTGCATCTGCAGCCCGTCAACTTTGGTTACGTCGAAATCGTGAGGTTTTATATCTGGTGTTTTAATAAATTAATTTGACGAGACGTTATAAATATAAGCAGTTTTGTTCGGTATAACATTAATGACGAATATAACACAAGTAAATAAGTTTTTATTTATTAAAGAGTGATTCTTTTGACTGTTTTCTATGGTGGTCAGCAAATTTCTCCTAATGAGCTGTGTTAAAATAAAAAAACGTAGAATTGATTAATTGTATTTGCTTTTAAAATGGTGTGGTTTATATAAAGCAATTTGACGCAGACTAATAATGTCGACTTCTTAAAGTCGATACGTAATATGTTAATATTTGTGTTCTATAGAGAATAAAATTTATATTGTAGTAATTCATCATATTTACTATATCACACTATATGAAGAACAATACAAAGCGCATATTACGTCTCCAAAAAGCTTTATGAAGAATCAAAAATACGCGGTAACCGCACATTCTTCATGTAACGAGAAATTAAGAGTACCTATTGCATACTGAATCATTTAATTTCAAAATCATTTTAGTTTATATTTCAATCGTAAGTTTGCTTATTTAGGCCCCGCTCCATTAACCAGAACGTATCCCCTAACCAGCAGTGGTAGGCATTGAATAAATATTGCTAAAATAGAGGTGTATTTCTTCTTGATGTTAAGTAAACTATAATCTACCGACATTT